TGGATTTTTTTTTCACATTCTGTCTCTCACAGTTGAAGTGTACCTCTGGTGCAAATTACTGACCTCTGTCATCATTTTAGGTGGGGGAACTTGCACAATTGGTGGCTGACTAAATACTTTTTTGCCCCACTGTAACTTTCCAGATTTGTATAGCATGAACTGCCACTTGGCCTTGAATGTAACACCCAGATGCTACTGTAGATAATATAGAAGTTAGTTGGCATGTTAAGGTAAAAGTTAATATGAAATCACAAATACAATAATAAGTAAAATCGGTAAAAATATTAATAATATAAATACCAAATATTAGCAATGATTTATCGGTAATGTTACTGTACCGTGTAGCTAAATGTGCTGACCTCTATCATTTCGCTCACGGATGCTGCTGCATATAATCATATTTGAAATATGATTGAGGTGTTTCAGGTTTTGGATTGGTAGTCAGACAAATCAGCTTCATGGTAAACAAAAACTAATCACATCAAAAATAATAAAATAATTTTGAGTGGCCTTCCTAAAGCCATGACAGAACAACACTGTTTAGGTTACGTTGAAGATTCATGTCTCAGTTCCACCTGGTGGCTTTCAGCCTCCTTGTGTGTTCTTAGCATAAATGTTAAATAGCAATTAGCACTACAGTTAATAATAACATTTGAAAACATGAATAAAAAAGATTTAAAAAATGATAAAAATGTTATCAGAAGAAATCTCCTCACAAAGTAATGGCTTGTTTTCCTCTGTTGCATTTTGCATGTCACTGGTAGATGTGACCTTTCACTGCTTGCAAATTACAAAAGAGATAACGTGATGATAAACACAATCTGTTTTGTCGTCTGTGACGTGGAAAAACTTGTATGACTGTTTTACAGACGAACAATGTTACTGAGGAGGTTGTCCAGCAGCGCTCTGAGGCACAGCACTCGTCCGACTGGTATGAAGCATTTTCACTTAAGCGCACTGTTGGAAACTAACAGCACTAACTTTACTTTCTGCTAAACCTTTAACACAGTTCTGTTTAATGATACAGAATATCTGCAGAGAATTGCTTTTGGAAAATGACACCAGCATGCTTTTTGATTGCTTAAAACAACAAAAGCCTCACGTTTGAGATGCTGTCTTCCTTCTCCTTCCTCTCTTTCTGTTCCTTTTTTCCAGCTCTAGCCTGGCTAAGCTCACAGAGCAACTTCAGGCCACACAGGGCAGGTGAGCCCGCAGTTCTGTGTGGCTTTGTCTTTCTCACTGTTTGCACGTCTGCTTCCTGCTCTGCTGTCTTCTCCATCACTGCAGGAGGTCTACCTGTGTGTCTCTTATTCTGAAAAAAGCCTGTTTTCCTTGTTTGTTTGTTTGTTTGTTTTAGGAAATGTATTTGTTCTTATTTCATTTATTTTATTAGAGCTGCCAAACTTCAGCTCACAGACCAATAACACAATAATGTTGTAACACAACAGCAATGATTTTTCCAGTGTCATCTAGTATTTTATCTCATTCATGATTTCCAAAAGTTATTAAAAGACATCCTATAGGGCTGCACGATTAATCGTTAGAAAATC